AGGCAAGGGCTTTTCTTTCTAAAAGCAAACCTGAAAATACTTATAGTTAGGGGAGAAAAAGGGTTAGGTGTTCTGCTCTAGTCATTGAAAGAGAGAACCATTTAATGCAGTGCACATTTTCCTGCTCAATTCTGTGATTGGTTGAAGTTTGAAGCAGAGTTTGAGGAAGGCTCAGTGCAGGTCATCGTGTTATAAACTCCCTCCCCAGATGTTTTCTGTAAGTTAGACCTCAAAGGTTGTCTTTTCCTTGTGTTTAAAAATCTCCCTGAGTTTACAGTAAGCCTGAACATCTTTTAAACTGGGCAAGAGGAGGTCCCTCTGCTGCGAGCCTGGAGCTGAAAGTGCTGCCCAAACAGAGAAGGCTGATTTTAATGAGGACAGCTCTAATGACTCATCCTGACTCAGGGCCTTTTCATACAGAGTGTAATTAGATCGGGAAGGCAGAATGTGCTGGAGGTCAAAAGTGTAAGTGGAGTTAAGGACAAGAAAGGGGTGAGTTCATGGGGGATGAGCTTGGGTGTCTGTGAAGGCTTTTAGAGGGCAGTGTTGGGGTGGTGGTTTCATTGTGGCTGCTGCTTGGGGTGTTTGGGCTAATATGGCTCTAATTAGTGGAAAGGCAGGAAGGTGACTGAAGGCTGCTGGAATAGGGAAGCAGAACTGTCCTATGGCATCAGTGTGTGCTGTTCCAATATTCAGGTTTTATGAGCAACACCCAAAGCTTCTGTTTTATAAACACTAGGAATGTATAGGCAGGAATTAAATGACATACTGAGCCATAGACATGGTGCTGTTGAAGTATTCAGTCCCTTTCATGTGCCAAGATCACAGCTTGCTTTTTATCTGCTGTGAGTATCACAGCTACACCTTGTGTACTACACAAAGAACAAGGAAAGTACAAGAAAATACTGAGCCTTTGTGCCATGGCCCAGCTAATTGTACCAGGACATTCAGATCTATCTTGAAACCAAAGACCTGTGAACGCCACTCACTAGGATTCAGTTTCACTTGATCTCCAGTTTAGAGAGTTTGTGCTAAAAAGCTGTCAGGAGAAATAATTATCAGAAGTTAAAGCAACCTGAGTATAATGGACTTGTCCAGGGCATGAACTCGGGGAGCTCGACTCGGGGAGCTCGACAAGGAGGCAGTGTAAGTTCCCTGTTTTTCATTGCCTGATTTTTATCCAGTTCCTGCATTTTTAGTGATGCTTAGTGATCCCATTTCATCTAGGCTGTGTTGTGCCAGGAATTGCACAGATGTATGCAAGGAGAACCCTTGTGTTGACAAGTCTGTAGTTGATTTTTTGCAGCCCATGCACGGTGGGGATGTCCAGCACCCCTCTGGGGAAGCAGGCTGGAAAGGGGCTGCAGATCAGGGGGCAGGTAAGCAATTGTTATTACTGCCAGCACAGTGTAGAGCATAAGTATATTTTTTTTTTGAAAAAAGAACCTTTCAGTTGATGTTAAAATATAACAAGCTGAGTTGAAACTCCCTGGATCTTCCCAAGGTTGGCACAGGCAGTTTTGACCCTGTGTGAGGAATCAATTATAATCTTTCTAATTTCACATTCTAAAAGAAACTCCAAGGACAAACTCAGGCTTCCTTTGCTTCTGGTTTGGTTTGGCCAAGCATCATCCAGCTCTGGTATGGATAATAAGGTTCACTGTATGCAAAATAAACCATTTGGTATTCCATTTATTTTTTTTTTATGTAATCCCATTTAATAGGGGAAGCAAATCCCATCTTCTGAGCCTGATGACAGGATCTTGCCTGTCAGACTTTAAGTTCACCTTTGTACCTGTTAGGTTCCACTGAAGCAGTGGGATTACCTTCAAAGGGAAGGATTACAAAGGTTTGACTATGAAACCAGCCATAATAGCACAATTATAGCACACAGCAGGTTGCTGTGCTGTTGCACAAGATTAAAATGCAAAAGCCTGTTTGTAGGGTGACTGATTGTTTTCCCCTCTACATAAAATTTGAAGTACTGAATAGTTATTTGTTCTTATACATGAGAATTTTTTAATGCTATTTTAGAAATTCCATTATAAGGGACTATTTTATATCTCTTCTATGTTTACATAATAATGTATAATTCTTACTATGTGGACACAGAGTTGTCAAGTCTCACAGAATTTGTAATTAAGCACAGTGGAGAATAGCCTTGGGAGCTGTTCCTCAGCTAGAACAGGCTCATCTCTAGCAGCAGAAACCATGTGTCTGACCAAGTCACAGATAGGACCTCCTGATGCTGAATGAGAATCATTTGAGCAGTAGTGCCATGTGCCCTGTCTTTTGTCCCTGTTAAAGCACAAACATGCCTCCAGCTGGACTTCGTGGAGATGATTACAACTGTTTGGGCCCTGCACTTCAGCCAGTTTTCAGTCCCACCTTGCTGTCCATTTGTGTAACTGGAACCTCCTTGGTCTGTGTGGCTGTGATGGGAGGCAGTACTGGAAGCCTTCCTCAGGCCAAGGTGAATCCACTGCTCTCCTTGTTCCCTCAGCTGGTTCTCACTGTAGAAGGCCATCAGGTTGATCAAGCGGATATTTTCCTCCATAAATTCTTGCTGACTGCTTCATTCGTGTTGTCCTTAATATGTTTGTATATGACCTCCAGGATTATTTGCTCCATCACCTTCTGGGGATGGAGTTGAGTCTGAGTAGATCCTCCTCCATGAAAACACAAGTGACACGCTTTTTTTCCCTTTTCCCCCAACCCCACCCCAGCTTGCAGACACCTACTGGCATTTCTGGGTGCATCCTGTCAGGTCCCACATATTTGTGTATGTCCAATTCATTTACAGGTAGCCTAGCCAGGTCTTTCATTGAGGTCTTCCTTGTTCTAGACTTTCTCTCTGGTCTGAGGGGCATGGGATTGCCAAAGGTCAACTTACCAGTAAAGGCTGAGATGAAGAAAGCAGGAAGTACCTTGACCTTTTCCTTATTTTTTGACACTATGTTCCTTGTTCCATTCAGCTTTGGTTTTCCAAACCCCATCACTGCAAGCTCAGGCAGTGCCTGTATGTTCCACACATCCCTGTTTCTGCCTCATTTATGCTTTGTTTTACATCTGAGTCTTGTCAGGAGTCTCGTGTTTACTTTCCTACTACCTTCACTTAACTTCCTGCTCATCATCATGCACCATGCTTGATCTTGGAGAAGGTGATGCCTGAGTATCAACCAGTCCTCCTGAACCTCTAGGCCTATATCCGATAGACTTCCTGCAAGCAGGTCTCTGAAGAGGCCAGAGGTCTCCTCAAGTCCAGGAGATGCTTATGTTGTCTTCCATGCTGTCTCAGTATCCTGAACTCCTCCCTCTCCTGGTCACTGCAGCCAAGGCTGCCTTGACCTTTGCATCCTACACAAGTTCTTCCTTGTGTGTGTGTATGAGGTCCAGCCAAGTGTCTCCTCTTACTGGCTTCTTGAGCATTGATGTCATAGAGGTGTCATCAAGAAAACACTCCAGAAACCTCCAGATGTCCAGAAACCTCCACCTGCCCCTCCAGCAGGTGTCAGACTGGGTGAGTGCTCTGTGAAGGCCAGGACCTGTGAATACTGGGCTTTTCAGAATAGTTTGTCCCAGAGCCCACAAAAGGTTATTTTCTTTTTAGCTTTAAACAACTGATAGGAAATAGTTCAAGATGTAGCTAGTGGAAACACTAAAGTGACTATAATACAATGACATTTGCAGCATGCCTTAGGTCCTTCAGTAAGATTCAAGGACAAGCTTTAAATAAATCAGAACACCACTTGGAAACTTGTGTCAGAAGTTCAGCCCCTAATAAATGATTCAGCTTTGAGGCAGGTCACAGCCACTTCCCCTCCTTTCCCATCTCCCTCTCCCTTCGCATGAATTAAAAAAAGAGAGTGCACTGGAAAAGGATGAAGTGTGGATTCTAGAGAAAATGGAAATCTTTTTCACTGCATAGCAGAGCAGTGTAGGACTCCAGTGTGATGTGCTGGTTTTTGTGGCAGGTTTTGTGCTTGATTACCCCATGACTGTCTGCCCTGCTATTTATTACCAGGACAAGGAGGCACATTGTGAACAGGGCTCTTAATTTTCTTTTTGCCCATTTCCTATTGCTGTACTGGTGTTGAGCAGGCTTGTGCTTCAACTTGATGAGACCAGAATGAAACCATATCCTGAGGAACAGAAGATATTCTCCATCCAAGTGATATATATCCATGTCAGTGGTAGGGTGTTTTAGTTCCCAGTACCAACAGCTGCATTGGAAAAAAAACGGAATTTAAATCTGCTTTGAAAAGGAAAGGGTACATTTTCCTTACTCCTTCAGATACTGGAGCAGTGGAAACTGAAGGCATTTTTGGGAGCTCTGGCTGCTTTCAATTCGTGTTTATTATTTTTGTATAGAGGAAAGCACAACAAGGCTTTTGAAGTACTCTCACTTTGTTCAAGCCTGGAAATCAGACAGCGCAGTCCCAGGCTTCATTCACTCAACTTTCCTGTGCTCTCAGGCTGGTGCTACAAGATGGATCTATTTATGTTTTGCTAAGTTAAAATGCAATGTGTTAACTTGTGAATGTGTGTCAACTGCTCAGTTAAGAAGGGACAAATTGTGTTAAGTCACTGGTGGTTAATACGGAAGCTTAAACCAGCATGGAAGGGTTTTGCTGTTCATGGCCTGTGCCATGGGTTCTGAATCAGAGTGATTGTTCTTGGTGCTACAAGATGGATCTATTTATGTTTTGCTAAGTTAAAATGCAATGTGTTAACTTGTGAATGTGTGTCAACTGCTCAGTTAAGAAGGGACAAATTGTGTTAAGTCACTGGTGGTTAATACGGAAGCTTAAACCAGCATGGAAGGGTTTTGCTGTTCATGGCCTGTGCCATGGGTTCTGAATCAGAGTGATTGTTCTTGGTCATTTCTAGAGTGTCTGTGATTTCTGAAACTTGGCTTGTGAAGTATCAACAGGATCCAGAACTGTTCTTCCTAAGCCATATTTATTTCATGTTTCTGTGGTTTACCTTTGCTGCTACAGTGCTCAGTGTCAACTCTCCCTTCCACAGGATCTCCAGACGTGGGTGAATGGTGCTAATGAAAACGGCTTTGTCCTCGTCTCATTTGGAGCTGGAGTGAAGTACCTGTCAGAAGACATTGCTAATAAGTTGGCAAAGGCTCTGGCAAGACTGCCCCAGAGGGTTATTTGGAGGTAAGTGCAAGGATGGAGCTCCTCAGGGTGCTTTGGAGCATGCTGGTTTCCTGTGGTACCATCTGGAGCTGGAGCTGCAGAAGCTGGAATTGAGACCACATGGGTGGCACAGAGGACCTATCTCTTGAAAAACACTCCTTGTGGAAGTGTTGAAATCCCCTGGCAACAAGGAGGAGCAGTGATTTTGTGGCAGAATAAGGCATGGGTTATTTATACTCCTATGTTAAGTTTATATCCTTGGAAGGACTAGGGACAGTGAAAAGAGTCTGAGGTTATAGCATCTGTAACATACTGTCATCACTTCTGATAAAGAAGCCACCCTAGGGGGCTAGAATGAATACTGCTGATTAAATCCTAGCTTTTTTTCTTTTTTCCCCTCGCTTTTTTAGGCCACTTGTTCTCTTTTGCCTGTAAACATAGACTTCCATTATTGCTTTTCTCACTTGGGTTTTTTTCCTTTTAGAAACTGGAAGAAGAAAAATCTGCAGAAGTCAAAATCAGTAATAAGCTTTCTCAGCCTCTAAAAACATCTTGAGTGGCACTCTCAACTCACTGTAAAAACCCTGAAACTGCTTAGGTAGCTCTGCTTCATGTGGAGCATCACTTTGCAGTATAGTTTGGAGGAGTTCATGTGAGCCATTGGATTCCACATAGTCAGTGTCTTAAAGTTCATGCCTGCTGTCCCTGCCACACTGTCAGAGTTGTATTAACAGTCTACTTAGCAGCCTGTTCCCTGCCATCTCTTAGGGAATGGCCTCACTGCTGTGTGGAATTGAGGTAATAAACCCCACTAATGAACAGGAAAATGGAAGTTCTTCAGGCAGTGGCACAGAACCTGTGGAAGTTGTAGTAAAGATCACGTCAGGATTTTTTGGGGTAGAGCCATTGTGGTTTTTTAGTCACCCCACAATATTGCTTGGCTTCCAATTAATGGTTAGTCGCAATTGATTTTAGTGCTTTTATTTTGGTTTGTCCTTTTATTCTGTTTTCCCTGGAATATTTCTCTGCAGGAATTACCTGCTTTTCATAGTAAATAAATCAATTTTAACAGATTTTTCTTGAGAGCAGCTATTTTAGTGCAAACTCAACAATTTCAGTTGAAGCCTTCTGTTGAAATTTAACTTTTTTTTTTTTTTTGCTACTGTTTCCTTAATGCTTTTTTTGTTCTGTTTTTGTTATCTGCAATCTGTGATCTGCTGAATGGCTTTTGGATAAGGGAGCCCTTTGTAGTTCTTTATATGCTTCTGATTACTTGAGGCCTAGTTAAAGCCCAAACCAGTAACATAATTTATTTGCTTTTCTATGACTTAGTGTAAATACTGTAGGCTTTTTTCAACATGTGGAATGTACAGGCCAGTTCTAAGGATGGATGACTTGCTTAGTTGGGAATGTGTGGGTGAATTTCTTGAAGCTAGTTCTAATGCTCTCTAATAACCAGGATATTTATAAGTTGTTCGGTGTTGTCACAAAATAGCTCTGTCCTTTAGTAGCTTTTTGGGGTTTTTTTAAACTATGTTTCCATTTGATTTTATTGGTACAGGTTTTCAGGAAACAAACCAAGGAATTTAGGCAACAATACGAAGCTTATAGAATGGCTACCACAAAATGACCTCCTTGGTGAGTATCTGTTCTCATCATATATTGCTGCTTCTCACTGGAGTTCAGTTTGCTCTTCTAAAAACATTCTGCTGGATTAGCAGTTATTATAAAGTCAGGGTGACTTCTGCCATGGCAAGCATCGAGCAAGAATATAGAATTAGGATTTGAAGATGTTAAAATCAAGCACTTTTCTGATGTTAATTGTCTTTCCCTGATAGTAATTTCATTTCTTTCCTTAAGTTAGTAGGGTGGAAGGACATAGTCCAAAGACTATTTGGCCTGATAAATGGGAAAAAACATGGTCTGGTGTTGACTGGCCTCTTCAGGGCACAGTCTTAAAGCTGAGCGTACAGAATTGGTTCACACTGCATCAAAACAAACCTTGGGGGCCTGTGAATCCTGTTGTACACCTGTTTTAGTCCAAGAAAGCTCTAACCCAGCTCAGGCACATGTTGCAAGCTGACAATACCCTTTCTGTTACACTAACCTGAGATGCTCCACGTTCTCAGGTGCAGAGATGAAACTTGATGTTTGATTATCCCCTCCCTTCCCTGTCGAAGGGTAGCTGAGTCCTTTGCAGATCTGAGGGGCCATGGAATATTCTGTCTGTCTCTGGGATACCTGGATGTTTGTGTGCTCCCTAAACAGCTCCAGTAGGCACTGATGAATTAATTAAGCATCAGTATGTGTATGTGTGAGCTGCAGTATTTATCCTAACGCAGTGATTAGGCAAATGACTTCTAAAGGGGCAGGTTTGTTTTGGTTACGGAATTGCTCTGAGGCAGTCTGATGTTTCCATTACAGGAGGTTGTTATCGTGATTGTCAGATCTTGCTAGCCCGAAGTAAGGCATGTGAAGCTTTGGAGAGAGTGTAACATCAGTTGTCCTGTCATTAAATAACTTGTATTTCACACAAAAACGTGCTCTCCCTCGCTCATTTGTACTGCTAAACCTGCTGTAGTCACCACCTGCAGCTACTCAGGAGGAAGCAATGCATATTAACTACTCCGTTAATCATTTCGCACCACTCATACACGCGAATTTTCTTTGCTTTGGCTGTTCCCTCTCTTAGAGTATAAGGAAATCACTTAACGCATGAGGAGTTTCAGTAGAGTGGATTAAGGGACAATTTGAGAATAAGTTGCATTATTACTGCCTGAGTTGCAGCCATAGAAACACAGTGACAAATGTCTTGTACCCAGGTGCTTCAGTAACTTTTTATTAAGGAGATATCAATGCATTTTTTAACCTTCTGTTTCCAGGTCACTCTAACATTAAAGCTTTCCTTAGCCATGGAGGTTTGAACAGCATTTTTGAAACCATGTACCATGGGGTCCCTGTGGTGGGGATTCCTCTTTTTGGAGACCATTATGATACCATGACTCGTGTGCAGGCCAAAGGCATGGGAATACTGCTCAACTGGAAGACCATGACTGAGAGTCAACTGCATGAAGCCCTAGTAAAAGTTATTAATGATCCCAGGTATGGAATTGAGTGGTTGTTTATGGGTTGAATGTGGCCGTACAGAGCTTGTGTGCAGTGGAAAAATACTGCCTGTTGGGATTTATCTGTGTGTACAGTTGGGGCAAGTCTGTGGGTGTTTGTCCCATTTTCCAAGATTACCCAAGGGCTGTGGTTTCTGTGTAGGTGCTGGGTTTGTTGCTCAGGACCAAAACTCAACTGTGTCACTTGCTCTTTGTGGCAGTTGCCATGTGGAGAGCAGAGGGGTTATGGAAACAAACCTGTCCTGACTTATTCTTGGTTTCAGACCAAGGTCCCTCTGTGTCTCCCTTGATTATTCCATATTAGCAGTCTGACTGTTGTGCTGCCCAAGGGGCCTGGAGCAAGATACACATACATGATTTGAGTTGTAGTTTCAAATATGGAGATATTAAAAAAGAGTGGCTCCAAGTCCCACGATTTGATTAAAAAAACCCAAAATTATAATATTTTCCTGTTCTAGGTAGTAATAATTATTTAAAGTCCAGGAATGTAATTTGTGTTTGTTGCAGTGACAATATTCTAACAAATTATTATGGATATGAGGACTCCAGTCTGGTTTTTAAAATATATTTTTGTTACTCATGTGGAATAAATAGAAGCCCCTGAACTGGCTTTCATAACTCTTCCTAATTCCGGCAAACCAGTTTTCTCAGGGATATTCAAGTGCAAAACCAGTCACTTCCCAGCTTTGTTCTGACCTGTTTTACACACCTTTGCTCCTCAGACCATCTCCGGATTAAAAACAATGAGGTGTTAGCTGGCAATATATTGTGTGGGGCTAACCCCAGCTTTGGAGCATGGTGCTGCTGATGCCTCTTGGTTTCATGGGAGCAAAGTCTTCAAGCAGTGCTTGCCCTGGGGAAGCAGAATCCTGTGCAGAGCTGAGTGGCAGAGCCACAGCGAGGGGGGATGTCTGTCAGTAGAGAAACCTCGATAACATCAGTTGCATCACCTTTCCCTTGTGCAATTACCCTTAGTGTAAAGGCAAGTCTTGTGTAAATAACCTGTCGACCCTGCAGCTGCAGTGAGGGAAGAGAGGAGGAATTTGCCGTGGTCAGTTGCTGGGGTGAAAACGAAAGGTTTTGGGTGAAACTCTGGACTCAAACGGAAATAGTTTATTGCGAAATGAAAACCAAGTTTCTCCTTCTGAGTTTCTCTAGTAATTCAATTGCACAAGAGTATAACATGATAATCTGCCCTTTCTTCCCTCTTTTTTTTTTCTCCCCCCAGCTACCGGCAGCGGGCCCAGAGGCTGTCTGAGATTCACAAAGACCAGCCTGGTCATCCCGTTAACCGGACTGTGTACTGGATTAACTACATCCTCCGCCACAACGGAGCCCAACATCTACGTGCCGCTGTTTACAGCATCTCTTTCTTTCAGTATTTCTTACTGGATATTGCCTTTGTTGTACTAGTGGGTGCTGCCTTACTTTATTACCTTTTGGCCAGGATAACAAAATTCCTCTGCAAACAGAGCAAGCAGCTCTGGTCAAATGACAAGCATAGCGCTGTTAATGGACACTACCAGAATGGGATCCCCAATGGCAAGTATAGAAGAAATGGCCACATTAAGCATGAAAAAAAGGTGAAATGAGCCAACCACCCCTTGTAAAGTAGTAATGAATCAGATCAGTAATCGAATTTTATCGCTGTAACTTAGTCTAACAACTACTTAAAACCTCAATAAGCAGTTCTAACACTCCCCTTCAGTATGTAATATTATGTGACAAAATTCTACGGAACTAAGAGAAGTCTTTAAAAAAAAAAGCAACAGCAAAGCAAGCACAACCTAAAATGGAAAATATTTTATTCTTAATACTGATGCAGAGAGGTTATTTTGGCACTGAAGATTTTAGAAGCCTTAATTCTCTAAAGTTCTATACAATGACCGTATTTATGACTTTTCAGTTTTTCCAAGCTCAATGTGTGTGTCCCAAACGAGGAGAGGTTTCTTTTTATTTGCAGAGGTGTTCTCCTTTTATTTTTTTATTGTTATTTTAATATCCCCATCCTTTTAGCTGAGAGAACTTTAGTGCTAGCTCTGTGTTCCCTTTTGTGGAAGGTTCAACATGTTGTGTCAGAATGCTGTCTAAAACACAAGTTATTTTGCCCAGTCTTTATGCAAGAAAAAGCAAGCTGTGAACTGAACACAGACATTAAAAAAAAAAAGAAATACTCTTAATGAGCACTGAAGAAAAATGGCAAAAATATGTACTTGTTCTGCTGATAAGCTGCATGACTCTTCTGCTCGCTACCAGTACTTTGGAGAAAAGGGTCTTGAGCAAGACTGCAGAATGTCCTGATTTTAACTTAGGCAAAATTTTGTTGTCTTTTTCTGCGTATATAATTTATGCCACAAAAATATTAGGGAGTTCTATTTCAGTTCAAAATATGGCTGTGTGGGAAGTAGATTTGCATAATTAAGCAAACCAAGTGAAACAACAACACAAAAGGACAAAAGCCTGAGAAAATCTAGCCCTGTGCTTAGTGCAGAAGGTTTTGTAATGGCCCAGAGCTGTGCAGAATCGAACCACTCCTTGGGGTTGGTTTCAAAAGAACAAACCCCAGCAAACAGCAAACACCCTGCACCCCTCCAGAGTTGAATGTCTTTCCTGTTAATTCTCCTGAAGTTCTTTCTAAATCGCAATGTTGTAGATGTTCTCTTTCAATGGTTGTACCTGGAAAACAAATATTACCTTCTATTAGTCTGGGCCACGCAATCCATGTTCCACATAGTTGCCAATACGAGTTCCGCGCTGTCCGGGCGGGTGACCAGCCGTCCTGCCCGGGGCTGGCAGGACACCTGGGGTGAAGCCTGACCACCCATGGTTTGTGGAGGTGGTGGTGTCTTCTCCCCCCCTCGCTGCAACAATCTCCTTCAATCATTGTCGCCGACACGGGACGCTGGCGGTGGTGTGTGCACCGAGGGTGGGACGCCGGGCGTGCGGAATCATTGCTGCC